TATATGATATACTCAAATATAAACACACAAAAATATCATACCTTCAGCACATGGATATTGTGACATTGATTCCAAGGTTACCATTATCTGCAAACAACTGGGCAATGGATGTGTCAAAGACAAGACAGTCAGAGTTCATGATGGCTGACTGCACACCTTCATGTATTGATCGTGGTGTGGCTTCCCAAGTTAGTCTTCGCCGAAGTCCATTTAACTCCAATCTATGAAAAAACAATGACATATTTAGCATACATTTCTAATTTCAGCCCATACAAGTTACAATAAAAAAACAGTTGTATCAGTAATACTACATAACTATTGTATATTTCTAATGAAGCATGGTAAGGATATTGGACAAGACTGGAAGATATCAAGATAAGTGGATGAGAAAGAGTGAAAAAGAGAAATAAATGAAAACCATGCAAGTATTCATACATGAAATTGCAGCCTATAGCAAAGTATACCTGTAGGCAAAGTTTTCAGCTTGTTTTCTTGATCCTATTAGTTGAACTATTGCAAAGAATTGTTGATGTCCATCATATTTTTCTTGCTTCTCCAAAACCAACATGAAGTGGTGACCAAAACAGCTCTGCATCATGACCCAATCTACAGCTCCAGGTAAATTGATATCTGTTGCTAAGAAAACTATATCCTCACCTGGAATAAACAAATACAATATATGGTATACCTCCAAGTTCTAAAAAATATCATAGAGTTCTTCCTTAATACTTTCACTTGCTCTGTCTGTTGGTTAGTCTACCATGTCTTCATCCATATTCATTAGCAATATCATATAACTTTAGATACATCAATGTAAAGCTCATATAAATAGAAAATTTTTTCCTCCATATCTAACCCAATGCCGACAGGCATGATGTGCACATACGTGCCATGCCCACTGTGAGTTACTTATTTCATTGTTTTTACACATAGATAACCATAAGTAACCAATGAGCCAATTACGAGTACTGACTGTTTCGCCTTTTTACCCTTTTCTTTGATTTATGAAAATATTTTACATTATCTTATTTTGCTGTTACTATCATTATAGTAATTATAATGTTTATAATAAAAATAACACCATCGATATTCATAGCACTAGTAAAAAATATGTTTTTCCCATAAATTCAAATCAGGTAAGGTCACAAGGTCTACTAACCGAGTCCTTTGTGGCTAAGCACTAGCAGACCCATATATGTGCAGAGACATTTTACAAAAAATATTAGAAAATGAGCACAGCATTTTCCCAATTTTTTATTCATTTCCCCGGCGGCATTGGGTTAAGGGGATAAAGGGTACCTAACACTGACAATGATATCTATCTATCTATTTATTTATCAATCAATCAATCAATCAATCAGAGAGTGTGTGTGTGTGTGTGTGTGTGTGTGTGTGTGTGTGTGTGTGTGTGTGTGTGTGTGTGTGTGTGTGTGTATGTGTGTGTGTGTGTGTGTGTGTGTGTGTGTGTGTGTGTGTGTGTGTGTGTGTGTGTGTGTGTGTGTGTGTGTGTGTGTGTGTGTGTGTGTGTGCGCGCGTGTGCGTGTGCGTGCGTTTACAAGGAGCAAGGCTCTAGGTTGGTCCCTGATTAACTGGGCAGTAGCTTTTGAGGGGATTAGTATCTTTTGTTGTATGGTAAGCACAGACACTTTTTTTTTCCTCAAACACAAATGATATTCACAGGATAACTAGAGTAGGGTATCATATAATGAGAGAGCATTATAAGGTAAACAGAAAGTATACATACACTGGTAAACTTTCATCTTCATTTACCCATTCTTTAATAACTAATCACCACAACCTGAGTATTTCACAATAATCACAGACACAGACACACAAACACAAGCACACACGTCAAATAATATGAAAGGGTTTATACAGAGTAATTATCAAATGTATAGTGGTTAACCTGCGCACATGACATAACTGGGGTATAAATATCATAAAAAATAATAAATATTAGATATGGAAACTAAAATACACACCTTGTAGAGTTGTGATACTTTTGTGGACGCTCATGAGGTGTGGCATAACTTGTTCCAAAGATCCCTGCCATTTACAGGATGCTCCAGGACATGGACACATGTATGGACGGAACTCACATGTATCCTCATGTTCTGTTTTGTCTGTGTGAAGGAGGGTTGCTGAGCAGCCTGACGAGGAATACTTACAAGGAAACATGACTGTGGATGCCACCTTCTCCATGGCTAGATTTCTGATATTGCCTGTAGAAATGAAATGATTTTATAAGTAGATTTAGACAAAGAAAATCTATAACAATTTCTCTTCTTTATATAAATCACAATCATCAATAACTGGATCTTTTTGTAGTGGTGCATAGATGTTTGAACTTACCTAGTGGTCCTCTACAGGTTGGACAGCATGTCAATTTTGGGCGGCAGTTGGCACAGACAAGGTGACCACTCTGGCATTGTAATATTGGGGGTAATACATAATCAAAACACACTGGGCATTCAAATAGGCTAGCTAAGTCTGTATTGCCTCCTGGAGGTACACCAGACTGACTGGGTGACTGAGGGGGTACCACCCGGCCACTCTTGCTGGCAAATGCACTCATTGTTATTTTCTGAAAGAGGAAAAAAAAGTAAATAAATAATATTAATAACTATAATCCTGTTGACCTGATATATTAATACCATGTTCTAAGCCATATATTATTTGAAAACATACTAGGACATGAATCATTCAAGAAAATCTTTAAATTGATGCTCATAGATACAGTGCATGGATAAATGTAATATACAGGAAATAGATTTTCTTCTTTTTTTGCAATGAAGACTGTATCATAATAGTATGCATAGGGCTTAAAATCCTTACCTAGTTCAAGCACTGTTGGTAATCAACATAAAACAAAAAGAAAAAGAAAAAATACAAAATTATGTTGACAAATATTTTTCTAAAACAAGATCCCTGCTGATATTATCTGGTGTAAAACAGATATTAAACAATAAAACAAAAACAAAATCTTGGTTCATGTGTCTATGGGTAATAAATAAATAAAGCCTATATATAGAAAGCTATATAAAGGATTACCTGATCTGTTATCCTATCATATAACATTTTTAGTCAATTTCTGTGTTTCTTCATGAATTTGAAGCTTCCTGTACATATTACGTGTGTGTGGAATGCTTCCCAGACAAACAATAGCAACTGTTTTCATTTGACTAATTTCTGTCTTGAATTTTGGCTACAGAGGATGAAAATGACATAGTTATAAACTATATAAGGTAAACATCTTAGGTTGCTTATTAAATAATTCAATGAAAGAGGTTGATGAACTGGTGTATAGAGAACTTAGGTAATGGTAGCTTGTGCAATCCAGAACTGCTAAAAAACAATTCAGAGAATATAGAAAACTTAAATGAGTAGCAGAATTTTAAGCGGAAAGTATGAACTCCCTATAGGCCAAGATAATAATGATGATACTGCTAATGATGATAAAAATAAATAAATAAATAAATAAATAAATAAATAAGTAAATAATAATAATAATAAAATAAATAAAAAAAAAATTAAGATAAAAATCATATTCTTTCTATCCTTTGTAAAATGTTGATCTAAATCCATAAGAGGTTAACCTAATGATTCAGTCATAAACACATGTACAGCTTACATTTGCGGCCTTACATTTACCACGAAATGACAAAAATATCTGCTGCATATCAGCACTCAGAGACTCGTTCTCTGACACAACACCCTCACACAGCCAGAGTTCTTAACCCATTGCCGCCGAGGATGGCATGTACGTACATGCCATGCCCACTGTGAGTCGACTTGTTCGATTGTTTTTACACATAGATGGCTACACTTGTGCTAAGTATCCAATGAACCAATTACGAGTACTGCCTGTCTCGCCCGTTCACCCTTTTTCATCGATTTACAAAAATATTTAACGTTATCCTAATTTGCTGTTAAAAATAACATCATCTATATTTATAGCACTAGTAAAAATACGTTTTTTTCCGCCAATTCAAGGAAAGGAGAAATCAGGACTAGCAGAGCCATCTATGGACAGAGATATTTCACAAAAATAAAAAAAATGAGTACTGCATATCCCCCATTTATTGTTCATTTTCCCCGGCGGCAATGGGTTAATATCGCATTCTCTGTAAGTTGAATAAAGTGGAGTGTATAGTGGGGGTTTGGCCCCCCCCCCTTGCTAGGGAATAAATAGAAGGTAGGAAAGGTTAGATTTGCATTTTTGGGTTCGCATGATATCCTGGTTTTAGGACTTCAGAGAGTGCATATATATTTATAATAACACTATAATAATGTAGATGTTAATAAAAAATAACAAGAGCAGTCATTATGATTATAGCATTAGAAAGAATAAAACTATTTCCAAAAAATTCAAGGATTAGAGAAATCAGGTGAGGTTATGTAGGGTCTACTAATTGTCCCCTTGCCTTGTCTTCAAATTCACTGAATTTCCGATTATATGTCCTGTTTACCTTGCACTGTATATATTTCAAAATCAGAAATCAAATTAAAACTTTTGTATTCCATATATATTCATATCGGTAATTGTCCACAATAGGACAACATAAAAATATAAAGGCTGTCTTAAGGAACCAAAATGACATTGACATATAATTCAACCTGTACATTAGAGCACTCAGATAATAAAATGTGACTGAAGTGATCTTGCAGGTAGGGCTCACAAAGCTCCATGACTATGATGCAAAAAGAGCTTCTCAACCTCTTTCACGATTTAAGAAACAGACTATATGGTGGAGTTTTGTTTGCCTTTACTGCAGCACCGAACTACAACATATTTTCACCAACATACTAAAACTAATAGTTTATTACCATTTACTCACTTTGGAGAGTCACAGTCAAACTTACGATGAACAAAAATATATTGCTTTCTTTCCTGAATATACAACTAGAAAACTACCTTCCTATACGATGACCCTGTGAAAAATAAGCGCAAATGATACTGCCGAGTAGGCTATACCCATAGCCTCTAAAAATCCAAATAC